GTGAGGGGTGGTGAGGGGTGGTGAGGGGGTAGTGAGGGGGGTGAGGGGGTGGTAAGGGGTGGTGAGGAGGGGGTGGTGAGGGGTGGCAAGGGGTGGTGGTAGGAGGGATGCCAGAGCAGATGGTGTGAAAGATGTGAGATCCGCTCATGAACTCAGACTGACCTGCCCTGAGGACTTTCAGAAACCCTTGGAGGAGGGTGGGGTTGTCAAGGTGAAAGTGGGAACCAGTGCCATTTGGGCTCTTACAGCTAATATTAACTTCTTGACAGGCTTGTAAGGCCCCCTGGAGAGGCCACACTGTTCCAGTGAGCAAGGTCTCTAAGATGGCTGCTGCTGACAGGCTTGGAAAGAGTTGATGTCCTGGTCACACTGCCCTGGGGCCTGGGGCCAGGTGTGGTGCTCTCGGTGGGGCAGAGACAGGCCAGGATGTGTCCAGAGGTTGGGGGGTTGGAGGAGGCTCTGAAAACTGTCGTGGGAGCAAAGCCTGAAGGAACTGGAGGGGAAGAGGCTCTGGGAAGATGCAGAAACCGCCCTCCTGCCTCTGGGGAGTCTTCCCACGGCAGGCCGCTGTGAGGGCAGAAGTGATGGGGAGTTGGGGGCAGGCAGGCCCCAGCCTGACCAGAAGGCAGGGGTGCCGTTCACAGCACAGACTTCCTTGTGTGGCGGGGAGCTCTGGGTACGAGTCGCTCCTCCAGGTTCCCAAGACCCACCCCAGGCGACTCCGGGTCAGTGGGTCTGGGTTTGCAGGGGAATCTCGGGTTAACAAGTTCCCAGGTGACGGGGGGAGCGGGGGTGGGGTGGGGGACACCAGGCAGAATTTTGCCTGCCTGGGAAGAGAGGCTTAGTTGTGATCTGGGATCCCTTCTAGCTCTGACGGTCTGTCATTCTGTGGTCCCTTAAGACTCCAGGCTTTTGTCCTGACAGCTTGTATTCCTGCCAGAACCTCTTGGCTACAAGCGCCTGCCTTTGAGCCCCTCCCTGTTCAAGGGCCAAGCCAGGAAACACCGCTCAGGACACAGCCTCCTCACAGAGCGCATTGTCAGGAGCCTTGCTTTCTTCCTGGATCCTGATTACAGCTTCTGATTAAGGTCCTACAGAGTGTGTGTGCGTAAGAGGTTGTATGAGGGTCTGTGTATATATGCGCAGAAAGAAAACCAGGATCTATGCCGACAGATTTGTGTTTTGGTGTAAGAAAGCCTCAGCTAGTGCTCGTGCCAGTGATGGGAAATGGGGGCTGGGGCCTAAGGAACCAGAAGTAGGGCTGGACCCCAGGGAGCTGCAAACTCAGAAGGATGCTCTGTTCTTTGCCTGCTTCACAGGGTGGGAATTCACATGGTACCAGGAGTCCTAGCCCAGTCCTCCTGACAAACCCCGCTTCTCCGGCTTCCGTTGCTCCCAGGGACTCAGGCCCTGGCCCCGGAGGCTGTAGCCCAGCTCACAAGGCCTGACTCCTCCTGTGAGCCTGTGGCTGCCAGAGAAGCCCAAGGTGGGTTGTCTGCCGGGTGCAAGAGGGAGCTGCCCTCTGCTGACGATGCCCGTGGGCTTCTGGAGAACTCAGGGAGGCCCAGGGCCTGCCAGTCAGGGCAGAGTGAAAAGAATACTGAATCTGATGTGGCCTTCTGCCTGGGGTCTGACCTGTCCCAGCATCCACGGTCCTTCAGGCCAAAGAAGGCCCTCAAGGGCTGGGCTGAGCAGAGCCCAGAAGGCAGCAAATACACTGGCTTTGGGGAAACATGAGGAACCAGGGGCACAGAAAATTTAACAGACTCATATGAGGTCTCTTGACCAGGATGTGGAGGGGCTATGTCTTGAACCCAGCTTGGTCTGACTCCAGAGTCCACATTCTTCAATCCTGTGCTAACGGTCCTGCCCTATAGGACCTGAGCATCCGGCTCCAGCTCACCTGAATTCTTCAGGTCCTTCTCCTGCTGGAATCTGGCGATGCAGAGGCTGTCGGAACCTACAAATAGTCTCTTTATTGTCTTGGCTTCCCATGAGCATTTGAAGGAGCTTCAGCGACCATGGGGCCCCCTCTCATATTATCGACGTCTGGTTCTGGTTCAAGGTCACAGGGAGAGTGAGCTTTGTGGGGGCCTGTGATCTGGACTTCCTGCCGTTCAGCTAGGGCTCTCTGCCCCCGATGTGTGATGAGCTCATGGAGCCCTCCCCCTGCTTGGCCACCACTAGAGACTCACCCTCACCTCTGACCCAGGGAAGCCACACCTAGGTGGAGTTTCAAGCCATGATGGCCAGCAGGCTTTTGTGATGTCTGGTTTTGTGTCTCTTAAGGAGAAGGACTGAAGGGTCTTTTAATTAGAGAGGTTTGGAACCAAGAGGAACTGAACTCAGTGTAAAAGGATCTCTTCACTGAGGGTATAGTTGCATCGTTGTCAATCTTTCTAGTTATTTTTCAGGAACATCTGCATTCTTCGGGAGCAAGGCATCACTGCTGTTTGGGGGAGCTGCTCAGGATCTGGGAGATTTTGCATCGGAATCTGGCTGAAGGGTACGATCATTGTGAGTGAATTGGAAAGGGTCAGGGATGGCATGGGAATAAGTGGTCCAGGGCTGGGGGGTAGGGATGCTAAGGGGACAGAACGTGGGAAAGTTGTGGCCTGAGGGTAGGGAGCAGTGACACTTGAATCCAGGTATGAGTGTTTTGCTCGGTGTTGTCCTTCCCTTCTTTAATCTCCAAGCTTTCAGGAGATTAACAAATCTTTTTGTTGGGTAAATCTTACAGCCCACTGTTGGGAACTCTTTGAGGGAACTGTCCACGTGTGGGGAGGAGCAGCAGCAGGACAGTGGCACAGCAGAGCGCGCAGTCTGGGGAAGGCTAGGTGTCACCCTCAGAGACGCAGAGGGACAACTCGGAGCCACTGAAAGCAACCTGTGAACAGCACCCGCCGTGGCCCAGGACGTGGCCCAGGACGTGGCCCGGAATGGGGCTCAATAAAACCCTGAGCTGGTGCCTGCGGCCAAAGGCATGAGGGCTTGGCTCACTGTCATTTAGAACTTCAAGGGCTCTTCAAGGCTGCCAAATTCTGTAACATTTCGATCCCACGAGCTTGGGATGTGGACACACGCGAGGCCATTCTTTTCTAAGTATTTATTATCTTAGTTCCCACAATTATGATGTGTGAGAAAACAAATGTCATCATAACATGAAACTATTCACTAAATATCTGCCTACTTCTCACATCAATGCTCCCTCATACAACCTTCCCTCACTTAACAAGTGTCTATCCTCCTGGCTCAGGGTAGTTGGGAGACCTGCCAGATGCAACAGGATGATACAAGTTCAGTGCAAACCAACTGCAACGTTCACGAAGTCTGGAAAAGCATGTCTGAGAACTTTACGTACAAGGTCTTAGAGCAGGGAGGAGCAGATGGAGCCAGGCCAGGTAACAAAGGAAGACAAAATGATGAGGGTGGTGGCAGGATAGGTCCTTCAAGAGGGAATGATTTGAATATTGAAGGATTGAAAGAGGTCCTTAGGAAAATGAATGAAGCCCTTAAAATTTAAACAACCAGAATCTCTTAACAAAAGTACTAAAAGTAAGATGTGAGGGTCGTGATAGTGTGTGAACAGATCGTTTTGTTGGCATAAAAAATGAATATACCAGGAGGAGGGGTATAGCTCAGTAGTAGAGGACAGGCTTAGTATACATATGGTCCTAGGTTCAATCCCCAATATCTCCATTAAAAAACAGACAAAAATAAATATACCAGTACCAAGATCGACATGATTAATTCTTCATTCATTTTAAAAATTAGCAGGTAACCACTATTTTGTAATATGTGCAGCTAAAAATAACTCTTCTTCACATCTCTTTTGTACCAAACCTCAGTGAGACCCGCTCATTTATTTTCATCATTTCCTTTTTTATAATAAAATCTCACAGAAACTCCCCTTCACCATTTACTAAGAAATCTCGATCTTCGTTTTAAGCAGATTCACTGTAAGTGTCCTTGTGCTGGCGCCCACAACCCTGACATGACAAGGCCCTCCGTGATCATTCTCCTCCAAATCTCTCTCCATTCTAGGAGGGTGGTGTGACTTCCCATGAAGCCTCAGTTAGACACAGACTAGGAGGTTCCACTCAGGGTATGTGGGGGCCTTGGTCAATTCAAACGAACTTTGGGTATTTATTCCTCAGTGTGGAAGCCACACATCTTCCCCAGGCCCACTGCAGCCTGCACAGGCTGTCGGCAAACCCTGCGACCTCAGCCCAGGGTGCTTGGCGTGGCCCGGGCTGGGCTGGCTGTAGGCAGGGAGGGGGCACTTACTTGGCCGGCGGGGCTCTGGGCTGCCTGTGGCTCTCCGGGGGGCTCCTCGTCCTCAGGGATGTGGGGCATGGCAGCCTCCTGGCGGGAGTGGCTGCGTGTGCCTGGAAACTCCGCTGTGTCAGCCCCACAGATGCTCCAGGAGGCCTGGGCTCCACAGGCTGGGGAGACGCCAAAAGGACAAGTCAAATCCGCTCCCATCCCTGACCCATGCTGGGTCCCGTTTTCAGGAGCCACCAACCGTGGAGAGAGCTGGCTAGAGTTTGCAGCAACAAGGGCTGAAATAGGCGAGTAGAAGGCATTTGAATTTGTATTTCCTCCTGCTCTCTGGCTCTGTTTACAAAGTCAGAGGTGACCTAAGAGATTTTGCATCTAATTTGGGCCGTACAGTAAACACAGCCATCCCAGAAGGGAGAAGAGAGCTTCAAATGCCTCAAAGCCATAGCCAATGGAGGACACTCCATTGGGAGCAGACTTCTATTTGTCAACCATTTATTGAGCAGCTACTCGGAGCCAGGCACTATCCTAGGAGCATTACCGACATCACCTAATTTAATCCTCACGATGGCCTCTGACACAGGCATTAATATTCACACTTTATAGATGAGAGAACTGCTTCAGAGAGTAGAAGCCACTTGCTCAAACCATACAAAGAACCAAGCATTTGAATCCAGATCTTCCTGATTTGGAGGCCACTGTATTACACAGCCTGGCTTGGCCGGGTAGGGCAGGAGGAAGTGATGGTGTCTCCTGACTTTCGGCCTCATGGCTTACCTTGGGCCCTTCAATAGTTCTTTTGACCCTCAGTACGGGGCTTCCTCACTTGAGGACAGCCCTCCCTGGGCCCGTCAGGCCTGCTAATTTTGGAGATTCTGGAGGCTCACCCAGGGTGGATCTCAGGTGCCTTGTGCAGTGCTCACCCCCAGCAACCTTGTGTTGCTTCCCTAAAGCCAGACTTACCCCTTCGGTCTGAAGGCTTTGCTGGGATTGACCTCAGTCAACATAATCTCATCCATCTTACCACAGTGATTGGCCTAGAGATAGACAATAGATCCAGCCTAAGCCAATGAGCACATGGCAGTGTTCTGGGACTCAGAGGCTCTCTCTTGCTCTGGGTGGTGGAGTGTGCAGATGTGAGACCTGGTGCTGCAGACACCATTTTGCTTCCATGAGCAAGGCCAGGTTGAGGATAAAACTGACATACCCAGAAGAGAGCAGAGCCAGGAGACCTGCAGAGAAATGGAGCTGGAGCCCTGATCAAAGCTCACCTGTAGCCAGAACGCTCTCTGAACTAGCGAGTTACACAAACAACTAAATCTCTTAGTGTTTAAGTCAGTTTGGGTTGGATTTACTTATAACTACTAACTTGTAACTACTTGTTAGTACAAACTACTTGTAACTACCCACTACTGTTACTTGTAACCACTAATCACTCTTCCATGTTTCTTGCCAGTCAAGAGGTTTAGGACCATAATCTGTTCAACAGACCTGAGCCAATGGGTCCAGCTCCTAGGCTTCCTCTTAGGAAAGGGGACCAGTCATGTCAGGTCCCTATGTGGAGAGGCAGGAGAGCAAGGTAGAAACAGCACAGGCTCCGAAACCAGATACCTGGATTTGACTGCCTGCTCTGCCGCTCACTGTGACTCACGGCTTCACCACCTGGTTTCCTCATCAAAGGAACAGAGATAAGAATCAGGATTCTTCCTATCAGGATTATTCCAAGGATGAAAAGCAAGAGCACTCAGCATGGAGTAGGTCCTCACAGAGGCCACCTGCATGTTGGGCTGCAGCCCAGAAGCTTGGCCAGGGTCCAGAGGGCTCTGCCTGGCCTCTTCCCACCCCTAAACTCCTTGAGGTGTCCTGCCCTAGTTGAGTGGGGATTCGAAGAACCAACAACCAGCCTGGTTCTGCAACCTCAGAGATTCCCTGAAAGAGCTGCTCTGGGGGCAGCAGATGAAAACCACCAGAGGCAGGAGTCATCCTCAGACCCTGCCCTCAGCCACAGTCAGGGGGCTGCTGGGATCCACACAGGGGAGATGGAGGACTGTCATTTACTGAGTACCTACTACATCCTGGGTCTTGTGTGAGGTGCTGTCTGCTGGAGGCCTCAGGAGGAGGAGTCAGAAAGCCCTGCCCCCACCGATGATACCAGCCGCTCTTCCCGTCCCACAGAAAGAGCTCCGCGTGGGGAGGCTCAGACCTGGCCATCAGCCACTGCTCTGACAGATGCCCCTGGCCAACACACACCACACACCTCTGACTGAGCTCCCCGAGGCAGGCAATAGATCTGATTTAATCACAGCTACCCAGAAGATTCATCAAAAAATGACTTGTATTTAAAGAACTGGAGAACTTCAGCTCCGAGGTTAGTCATTATGACCACCATCTTGACTTAGGTCATTCTCTGCAGTGGAAAGGTAGCCCCATACAGCTATGAAACAGTTGGGGTGCCCTCTGCTGGCCGGCTCAAGAAATCTCATCTCAAGTAGACTATCCATGAACTAATCCATTCATTCCTTCACCATGAACACTCACACCTACTCTATCAGACTCTGGGCTGGGCGCTGGTGACATAAAGATGACGCAGATGTGGTCTTGGCCCTCAAAGAGCACGCAGTCCACTGGTAGGAGGCAGATGGAAAACAAGATAAGAGGGTAAACACTTTGAAAGTGAGAAGCTGCAGGACCCCAGAAAAGGGTCCCTAACTGTGGAAATTGGGACAGGTGGGATATAGTTATAGGGAATATTCCACATTAGAATGATGTTTGGGCTGAGTTACGAACACTGAAACGCTGATTGAATTTCTCTGAACAGAAGAGTTGCAGGCCTAGTGGAGGAGATAAGGCAGGAAGGGGGAAGCCCTACTGGACAGACTTAACCTGGCTCCCGGGAATGAGTGCTGTGTCTCCCAGCTCAAAGGTGAGCTCTGTGACTATTTTCTATCATCTTTACTTGGATTTCTGTAGCAGTGACAACAGTGGTGCTGGGCAAAGTATACAGTAGTCGGGTACCATAACAAAAGAGGGTTTTGAGGGTAACAAAAGAGTATTTACAAAATCCAGTTCTACCAGCAAAGTTGGCTACACCTCCCAAGAAAACTCTAAAAATGATGTGTAATGTATGTGCAGGTCCAGGCTGTCTTAATAGGTGTATGGTTTCCAGAATATGGGAGGTGACAGTTCTACTTTTCTTTTTTTATGTCTTAACCTACACGAAGTGTATTGTGTTCTGCATGCTAGGAGGGATTCAGATAAACTGAGGCATGTTCCAAAAAGGGAAAGCAGGACAAGAACTATGTTAAAAAAAAAAACAAAAAAACTAAAGGCCTTTAGCCTGCAAAGGGGAAGGTGCAGGAAGAAATAAAATCTCTTTGCTGATACTTGAAAGCCATTCATGTAATTCTATTGTCCCCAAAGGGTAGAGTCACGGCCAATGACTGAAATGTCAGATCAATGCAAGGGAAAACTTTATAGTGGCTGGAACCATCTGAAAATGAAATGGGCTCCTCTTTAAGGTAGTGAGTTCTCCATTCCTGGGAGAGTTTCAGCAAAGGCTGAAGCAAGGCTCATAGGATTCCTAACCCACCTCCGGGAACTTTTCCAACCCTGGGAGTCTCTGAAATCCCAAATTCTTCCGAGTCACAATAAACCACAGATGTGAAGGTCCCATCCCATGGATTCTAGGATCATGGTATTACAAAGTCGCATCAGAAATATCTCTACTTCCTTTCCTTCACCTCCTGCTCCTCAAGAAAGACCTTCAGTCAGTCCTGGGTCAGAAAGTAAAGTAAAACAGGACTGAGTTAATTCAGACAAGCACTAAGAGGTGTCAGCAGGATAAGGCAGAGTGGAGGCTGGCTGAGGTCCCACACTTGACAGGATGGAACCCTGAGCCCCTTGGGGGTGCTCCGCCTGCCGAGGCCATTCCCACGCTGCTCCAGCCTCGTTGCTTTCTCTCCCATCCATTATTATAAACTCCCTGCTTAAAATAGCAAGGTAAAAGCAGAGGCCCTCCCCCAGGGTGACATCTGGGTTCCGCTGGAGCTCTTGGGCACGTGGACCTCACATCCAACACAGCAAAGTTTAGAATATAATCTCCAGGAAGTGGTGATCTAGAGCCCCGACCCAAAAAAGGAAAAAATATTTAGTAATGTTTGGTCTCCAAGTCATTCCTTCTTTAACCCATTTTCAGGGCCCCTCTCGCTGCCTCTCCGGCCTGGTCAGTAAAGGGTTAGGTGAGTCATTGCCAAGAGCCTTCAGCTCTTTGGACTCTATTCTTTCTGCTCCCAGCCAGTGCTCACATATATAGCTTGCCCATTTTACAAGAAGGAAAACTGAGGTGCAAAGAAGTGAAGCAACTTGACTGGTCCAGTTACCTTTGTATCTGGAGAAAATTATCTAAGCCTCTGCTGGGATAACTATCCAATCATTCGGATAACCAAAAAGCCCAGAAGTCTCTAAACTATATTTAAATATTTTTATTTGCCCCTGGCTATTCATTAAGGAAAGCCAACTAAGATACTTTTATTCATTTTTATTCATCAGATATGTCTAGGTTGCCTACTGAGTATAAGACCCTATACTGGGTGCATTTCAGGTGCTATCTTGTTTATTATTTCCATTTTATATATTAAGGCACTAAGGATCAGAGAGGTGCAGCAACTTGCTTGAGATCACACAGCTAATAAGTGGCATGCCAAGGATTATAACCCAGGCTAGTTGGATTCCAAGGCCCCTCCTCTTTGCTTTCTACTCGGCCTCATCCACCAGGAGTTCTGCTAGAGTGTAGCAGCCGAACCCAACATGGCGACCCTGCTCCACAGAGGAGAGTTGGGGTGCATTCACAGTGGGGATAAAGATAGTGGTGGGGCAGGGGAGAGGAAGTAGCACATTGTCAGGCCAGAGGTCTTATGAGGACAAAAGAGTGGGCCCACCATTAGAGGCTGCACTACCCATGCTGTGTGGGGTGGCAAACGTACCCATTTGCCCACCCATCGGTCTGTCGGTCCGTGCATTCATCCACTTGCCTTCTGACTCTTCTGTTCTTACAACTGTCCATTAGTTTGCCTGTCTAACCTTTCACCCCAGAGAAGCCCACACTTGTTAGGTGAGCCGCACAGGCTCTACCCGTGCGGGACACCTGCAGACTGTGGGGAGAGGG